ATTGATAACACAAAGAGATGCTTCTCCTTCATAGCCTCCAATTAACTGATTAGACTGATTGACAGTGAGGTCAGTTTGCGTTTAATTGTTCTCCAAACTAGTTTTTTGTAAAATTGTAAAATGACTCCAGAATCCTGGTTCCCCACCAGCAGCAGGTCTGTCCTGTGTCATATTAGCCGTTTGAATCTTACTGATGGAGACGGAGGCTTTGCCCCTCAGCAGCAGCTTCAGACACTCGCTGTTGTCCGTCAGGCAGCAGTAGTGCAGCGCCGTGCTGCCTTTGGCCGTCTGTCTGTCCAGATTCCCGCTGAAAAACAGACAAAGAAGAAAAAACAACCTTAAACAGAGGGGGTGGACTCAGGTTTCAGCTTTCAAAAACCTAAAATGCAGCGATAGAGTTGATTATTTCCTGCTATCATCACAACCCCTTTACAGAGGAACAGAGACCTCGCCTATTCAGGCAGGCCAGGGGTCGCCAACCCAAACTTCTCCAAGAGCCATATTGGACCAAAACTGCAAAAAATAAATCTGTGTGGAGCAGCAAAAATGTAAAAGTCTTATATATGCTTCGTATGAAAAGGGGCTCTAAGTGTATTAGCCCACTATAGAAAGGGACTACGTATGCTTAAATATATAATAAGCATTCATGATTAAATGTTTATCCTGGAGAAAATGTCACATAGCAGCATGAGGTGAGGGAGGAGCAGTAAACGCTCTCACCGGGCGCCGCTTCACCGCCCTTCATCGCGTGGTTGTTGCAACCAAATCCTTCTTTGTTTTATGCAGAGGTCCCGGGTTTTGGCACCAAAATGTCGGGTTCATAAAATGTAGGTTTTTGCTTAAGAAGAACTGAAATACACAATTTATGGATACAATTCCTGCAGGAAGGAGAGACAGTTGAACCCCAGACTCAAACGCACTGTCTCCCACTGGACCTTCTCCGCAGAGCATTTTATTAACAGAACATGACGCATGGTTACAAACAGAGTATTGTTCTGACAGAATTGATCAGTTCATGAAGACAGAATGCTCCATCAGAATGACAAGGCAGGACAGGAGTGGAGCATCCCCTTGCAAAAATGTTTTATAAGCACACATTCATTTTATAATGATCCTTGAATAAACCTAATAGTGTTTTAAGTTTTGTTGCATTGATGAAGTTCTAGAAACACGATAAAGAAATCTTTCTGTGGTGGACGTGTTTTTGTTGGGAGGAGTTGATTGAGTCATGAGGAACGAAATCCCACATCCTCCGTCACCAGTGATTTATATTTTTAGGATTTGGGGAAAGTTCCCATCCCTGCCTCAGAGCGCTACCTGTTGGATCTGTAGACGCTTTTCCATCCTTGCAACAAAACTAGCAGCAGTATTGGAGTTTGGAGATGCAATCTACTTCTTAAATCTATCTTTGCTCTCCTCTAATTGATCCAGAAGTTCTGCAATCACCATTTTTCTCTCACTGCCAACTTGGTGGTCGGTCATTACAAAGCAAAAATGCAGGCAATCCTTCTGCATTGATAATAAAAGCAAATGATTCACTTTATTCTTCTTTAAATCCTCTTTTCTCATCAGCCATCTTCCTTTTTTCCCCCTTTAGGATCCACGTTCTGAGCCACAGCTGCAGCTTTGTTTGCCAAGTTATGACAACTGATCTCTATGGCTATGATGCAAATTTTGTTTATTTATTATACAAATGTTTACAGCATTGGAAAACATAATTCATTTTTGTTTGACCTCAGCCGCAAGGGGGACGTTAAAAAGCTGCATGCGGCTCCGGAGCCGTGGGTTGCCGACCCCCGAGCTAGGCCAACAATTCCCTTTAACAACCAAACATTCAGAGACGTAGAAATGTATTAGGCATTGCAGCCTAACATTTCTATTTGCATGTTTTCTAAGCAAAAACAAGGTTTTGTTGGGCTATTGCAACTCAACGCTATTTCTGACATTTAGAATTGAAAAATCTTCCTGGATGGGAAGAGAAACATCTTCCAACTTGGAAACTAAGTCCAGTGGATTGTTTTTAAACAGATAGAGTCAGCAGGGGGCGCTGTGGTGACCTCAGACATGGACAGGGATCACAGAGACGGAGAGACGTTACCTGTTCTGAGCGAGGAAGTCGACGATGTGGAGAGAGTTTCTGTCCACCATCCTGACGGCCAGATGGAGAACCGTCTCTCCGGCTTCCTGACAGACGCAAACATTAAAGTTACACTCAGAGCAAACAGAGGCAAGAACAACAATCAAAGCAAACTCCAGTTACATAGCAGGGAGAGGGTCAGACACCTAATGAGATCCACAAAAAGAAACCCATGAAAAACAAGAACATAAAATAAACAAATACCGAATATGTCATAAAGGACATTTGGACTGAATA